GGGCCACAGACCAGGCCGACACCTGACACGGGTGAAAATTACAAAATCTGCCTTTCTGGAGCTTGCACGGCGAAGAAATCCGTCGGAGCCAGTGATTCAAAAGAGCACAAAGCGTTTTTTTTACAACATGAGGCACTTTACCCTTGTGACGTTTCAGCATCCAAGGGAATTGCGGGGGGTTTGCCGTCTTGTGGCGCCGGCGGATACGACAGAGGAAGACATTGGTAGTCTAGCGGACGTTGAGCCTTTCTCGCTCCTTATGAGAGAAGGCGTCATGTAAATATCAATATGAATAGTGTGGATGAGCAGGGGAGTGAGGGATTACACGTACAAGGGCTAAACATCGAGCAAGGAACAAAACCCCATTACAATCGTTTACTTTCTGTGCATCTCATCAAATACTAGAATGAATGAATTTAATGGACAAGAGAAGATGTATATTTGTTTGGTTAGCGCAAGATGCATGTTACTTTAAATTGGTTATGGAACAATGTTTCCAAAGTGACGTTTTTTTTTTTTTTTTTGTTTCTTCTTTTTGCTTTTTTTTTTCTTTTTTTTTTTTTTTGCGTGGCGTTCTCGTGAGCTATTCTCTCCTTTTGTTTCCTTTGTAAATCCCAGCTTTTACGTTAGTTTTTTTCTTTATTTTTGCGTGTGGAATGCGTCACGTTCCATCTTTTTTTTTTTTTACTACTTTACTTTGGCTGTTGACTGTGGCAGTTATACGCCGGCACCCTGAGAATTTGCGTATGTATTTTGGTCTGATTGTTTCATTTCTCCACTTTTTTTTTTTTTTTTTTGCGTTGCTAATTTGAGGGAAGAATCGTGTTTGAATGGAGTCGCGTGGGGTTCTTTTCCACCAAACTCACCACCCCCCCCTCTTTTTTTTTTTTTTTTTTTTTCTTTTGCAAGTGAATTGACGCAGCTTTCGAGGACGCGTATGAATGTGATTTTTTTTGTACATGTTTTTATCAGCAACTCGTATTTTATGTTTTTATTGAAGATGTCAATTGCTGTGAAATTTGGTAACCGTTTGCATTAACATTCTTCCTTCTTTCATGATAAACAAACAAACAAAAAAAAAAAGAATGAAGTTTTTTTTTTTTTGGGTAACTGTGACGTGTCAGCAGTGGCATCTGTACCGTTTACGTTTTTTTTTTTTTTTTGGGTGTATCTTACATGACATTCTTGCATTGTATTTTTATTTGTGTGGTCTAGCAGCATAGAACATACACACAAATACACAGGGAGTAGTTATACATACATACATACATATATATATATATATGGTGGTTGTGGTCCATTGTGGGGGAATCTTTATGTATGGATCTTTCAAACATGTCGGTATGGGCGGCGGCCGTTTTACATCGGCTGTAATACGAAGAGTTGTGCGAGACCGTGGGGCAGAAAGAGAGTGTGCGGTGATATTTGGCTCGTCTCGGTGTACCGCAACGAAGCACACCGTGTCCAGCGAGGAGCTTCGCGCCGCACTGCGTGTTTTTTCCCTCCCAGACGATGCGACGGACGGCGACATTAAATTTTGCTTTCAGAAGCTTGCCAAGAGCAGTCACCCCGATGTACTCCACCGCGACCATTCCCACGATCACGGCGACCATGAAACGAAGTACAGTGGTGTCAACGCGGAGACATTAAAGAGTGAAACAACGGCTGCAGACAAAATGCGACGAGGTGTGGAAGCCTATCGGTTACTAAGACAATACAGCCGAGAGGAGAGACGTATGATTTTGTCTTTATCTCGCGCGGATGGCGAGGCACAGCAGCGAGCGCAACGCGCGTACGAGGGTCAAAGCCGCGAACAACGTCAGGGCACACAGGACGCGAGTAATGGCACGACGTCAGGCCGGGGACGACGCCCAACGGCGGAATTTAATAATTTTCAGCGGCGCATGGAGAGGATGCGGGAGGAGGCCCCACCGTGGAATGTGTCGGACAGGCGGCGGCGGAGGGAGGGCGCTTTAAATCGGCTCTCGTTCATGTTTGGACCAAAAGGTCATTCCGCTCAGGCAGCGATGGATCGTCTTTTCCGTGAATATCAGCGCACGGGCGGCTTGGGGGATGGCCTGGGCGGCGACCCTGGCCGTCCCCAGTACCCTCCAAACTCATTTGCGTCCACTTCAGCCGCATTCAGTCCAGAGGTAGAATTGCAGTTTATGCAGCTGAGGAAGCAAGCGGAGAGGGCAGCTGTTGTGGATGCGGCCGTAGGGTACCGTCTTGTGTTTGGGATCTTTGCCCTTGTCTTCTTTGCCTTTGTGTGCATGGTGTATGCAACCGTGTCACGGCAGCGAGTGGCACGACGGGGTTATTACACAACGGAAGCATCAGCCACTTCCATAATGGCAAGTGAAGGAGGCGTAGGAGAAAAGGGGCATGGAGAGGAAAGGAAGGAGCAGAAAAAATAACGACATGCACATTCCTGCAGCACAATGAAAGCCAGAACAGGAAAAAACGGCGCAAAAGGGTCTTTTGCATGAGGGCAGGGTTGACTTTAAGGAGAGTTGGATTTTCAAATGTTTACAGAAGGGAGGAGAGGGTTACCATGCAGATATGATGCTGCGAGAAAATCGAACCCTCTTGTTATTTTTTTATTATTTTTATTTTGTTTGTTTTACGCGCCCCTTTTTGGGATTGCCGCCTGTGACAAAAAAAAAAAAAAAAAAGAAAATGGCGGCAGATTCGGCATCTAGAAGGAAATACATATTGGCGGCGCTGAATTAGTGGTTCCTCGTATGTCACTTGTACCGCGGCAATGGCCGCACTGCGAGACCCACTCACTTTTTTTTTTCTTTTTTTTCTTTTATCTTTGGCCTTTTGCCGCACGTGTGTTTGAGCGGGGGTTGGTTGGGGGAAAATTTGTATTTTCATTATACATAACGCTTTTGGTTTGTGGGCTACAAGAGAACTGGGTAGAGGATAGGCGTGGTGGCAATTGTTCTGTGGAAGTATATTCTTCCTTTCACGCGGAGGAAACGAGTAAAAGGGAACGCATATATATATATATATATATATATATTGTCTGTATAAAACATATTCACGATAGTTCACACACATAGCTCCCTTCCTTCCTTCTCCCTTTTCTCCATCCTTTTTTGGCCATACTGTCTGGGAGCACCTTTGCTTCTTTGGTATCTTTTGCCTCCAAATGAGCGTTGATGCGAATGACCACACGGAGGTGAATGAGTGGGCGATTCATTCATCCGTGGAGCCGTCGGATACCCCCATCGCTCCAGCCGACACCCACCCCCTCGCCACTGCAGCCGCAGATGAGGCACGTAAGAGTGCGGCAGATGACGACGAGCGTGAATCACGTCTACTTGAACTAATTAAAGGTCCGATTCGCCCATTTAAAGAATGGAGTTGGCGTGAATCTGCATATTTTAAAGAGCTGCGTGAAGCCGAAAATGTAGAAGAGTGTCGTACGAATGCCAAGCCAGAAATGACATTTGAAGACACTTCGGTGCAATCGCCAGAAACTTGCGGTAACCCACCGATTTCCGCCAAATGTTCTCTGGCGCGCGGGCGTATACACACGGCTCTCTCCTGCGAAGCTGTCCAGACTGTTTTATCTTCTTCCCAGAGCAGCCGGCCGTCCGCTATAGACTCCACCCTGAATGTATTGACTCCCTTGCTCGACAACTATACAATTCCTATTACGCGTCAGGGGCCCGAGCACTTCAGCAGTGATGCTCAAGAGAGTGTGGCGTCACTCTGCATTATCATGGTTGGACTCCCTGCGCGGGGCAAAACGTTTCTGGCGCAAAGGATATGCCGAAATTTGGGATGGCACGGCTATCGCGCAAAAGTATTGAACATTCAGGTGGCGTGGCGGCGTTTGTTACTTGAATACAAAAGATGCCATTCAGGACTCGATGCTCCCAACATGTTACCGGTTGATGACGCCTCCTCTTCAGCCAAATGTACGCTTGCCAAGTCGGAGGGGACGTCGAAAAAATCACCGACAGTAACTTGCAGCAACAGTGAGAGAGACACGGAAATAACTGCGAAGCAAAAGGATATATCCGATCCCGTAGTCTCTTCATTGCCTGAGTCTTCTTTGCCGATGATGGGGAATTCGCAGAAAAAGAACTACGTGTGCGCAGAACAATTTCGTGCACTTACTTGTGACCCTGATAGTGTCGAACGTCGTCTTTATCGACGTGTACTCGAGCGGTATGCTGTCGACGCAAAATCGTTTTATGCTAGTGGCGGAGATGTACTCGTTGTGAACGATGATTTCATTACGGAGGAGCTGCGGGATGAGGCGGAGGCCCTTTTTTCTCCGTTGGCTTCACAAACCTTTTTTATGGAAGTTATCCGAAGTAATGAAAGAAATCAAAAGTTTAATGAATTGAAGCTGCATGATAAGTCAGAGTACCCACATGACGTGAATGCAAGTGAGGCTCAACGAGACTTTGCACGCCGTATTGAATACCTCACTGAAGTGTACTCCACGCTCTCGTCTACATGCCAGAGTCCTGGAGAACCTTCTGAGGATGAGGTGACATTGGGCGATGTGTCACGTGAGAAGGATAAAGTACCGGGGAAAACGACACGAAGGAAGCAACGAGGGCGGCGGTATATGAAACTGTGGAATTCGGTGGAGATTGAAGTGCACGGTGTGACGGGTTATACGGCAAGCCGCATTGTCTCATATGTAATGAATCTGACCCAAGACAAGATTCAACATCCCATTTTTTTTGTTCGACACGGAGAGTCGATATACAACGCTGAGAATCGCATTGGTGGGGATTCTGTCCTGAGCGCCGATGGGGAAAAGGGAGCCAATGAAATATTAGGCTTTTTAGCCTCATTGAAGAGGTACTACTGCGCAGATACAAAAAAGACGGCAGACGGAGAAGGACATGTGAACAACGACGATGATAAAGCGGGAGGGTTCTGCAGTAGCGATTGCAGTGCTCAGTGTGAGAAGCCGGTGAAAGTGGAGGTTTGGACGAGTCAGCTGCGCCGTGCGATTCAGACCGTCGAGAACAGTGAACCGTTGTTGGGGATTAAAAATGTACGTTGGAGTAGTCTCAATGAAATTCACGCTGGTATTTGTGAGGATCTCACAATTGAAGAGGTGCGCACGCAGCACCCGATGATTGACCATTTCCGCAAAGTCAACAAGTACACCTTTCGTTATCCGGAAGGGGAGAGCTACCAGGACCTAGTTCTGCGGTTGGAGCCGGTGATCATGGAACTTGAAAACGCCGACCGCATCGTCGTCGTCGTCGCCCATCAGGCTGTACTGCGAACGCTGCTAGCGTACTTTGGCAGCACCTCCGCGGAGAGTTGTGTACGGCTGGAGTTGCCGCACCGCACCATCTGGCGCTGCACATATGACAGCAAAGGGATTTCCTCACTGGCCGAGATGAAGTTTGGGCTGCAGTGAGCAAAGGAAGAAAAAGAAGAAAATGGAAAACAAAAATGTTAAATAATAACAGAAAAAGAAAATGTAAGTACAGAAGAACGACGCGTATCTTTTCTCTCTGCAAAGATGCACATAAATATATATATCTATATATATATATGCTACGGGAGAGAAGGCGAGGTGGGAACCAGGTGTGTGAGGCGACTTTGAACTTGGAACCGGCAGCAAAATGATCAGAAGAAGAGTGGCCGATAATGAAATGAGTGTTTTCAAGATATATTTTGTTCTGTGCGTGAGGACCAATGAGTATGTGTGTAAAGTGGTGTTCGGAAAGGAGGGTGCATTCATGTGGGATGCATTTTTTTCTTTTTGCTTGCAGGTATATATACATATATATATATATTTCCTCTCTTGTTTCTTTTTTATTTAATTTTCTTTGTACTTTTCTCCGCGTTGTCCAAATATTCTTTATGCGTGTTGGACTGTTTGTTTGAGCATGGCTCTTTGTGTGCCGATGCGTATATACATGGAGCAAAGCGGTGCTTCAAGAAAAAACAAAAACAAAAAACGATTTGTTGCAGTGGACGTGATGTGTGATATGCGTGGGGAGGGGTGTGCAGTTGTCTCCACGTTGAATTTATTTTCTCTGCGCCCGATACTTTCATGCCTCTCTTGCGTTGTGTGTGCTTGTGTTTTTTCTTGTTTGTGTGTTTGTCTTTTTGTGCCCTTTATTTCTTTTTGTTTTTGTCTTAGAGGGAACCGCGAGCCATTCAGTAAGAGCAGCGAGATTCAAATTCGCAAGAAGAATCGGAATAAAAAGGAAGCAGGGAACCACAACAGTCGGAGAACGCAAAAACGAAAAGGAGGCCGGGGGTACGTGTGTGCTTGTGTGCTTGTGTGTGTCTGTGCGGGGCAGGCAGCAGGTGGTGGCATTTGTCGGAGACATTGGCGACTTTCAAGCGAAGGGGAAGAAGGGAAGAGGACAGGGGCGAGATGCATTTGCGGCGTAATTTTCTTCAAACTTGTCTGCCGGAGTTAACCCAAACGCCATTGCGGGGCGGTTGCTCCTTGTCGTCGTCGTCGTCGTCGTCTTCTTCGTCTTCATTTCAATTCTCTCAGGTGCGTCCCAGAAGTGTGTCGGCATGTGCCACTGGCTGCCGTTTTGTCTCCGTTCACCGTCACGTTGCTCTGCACACCACTCTTTTATCCACGTATCAACGCAGCTCCCTGCATTTCTGCACTCTTCTGTGCGCCCGACGCTTCAACGCAAGTAGTCCGCGTCGCGCTCCCACCTTCTCAGAGGTGTCGGAGGCGTGCCATATTTTAGGCGTAGAGGTGGATTGCGATCAGCGGCATTTAAAAAGGGTATATCGTGACTTGGTGCGGAAAAATCACCCCGATGCTGGAGGTGATGAGGCAATGATGAGTCGTATTACCGTCGCGTACGATCGACTACGAGGCATGTCAAAGATTGAGAGGGAACAGTTTAAATTACAGAAGGATACTTATCGCGGGGGAAGTTATTATGCCACAAGGGCAGGCGCCAGCAGCAGCAGCAGCAGCAGCAGTGGATACCGCTACCAGTCGCCTGCTGGTTACGGGGCGTATAACACCCATGCTTCAAACGGCACGCAGGGCTTTTACGACTCACCATTTGGTGAGTATTTTCGTCAGGGTCCCATGAGGTCCCAGGGCTTCTACAACTACCAGCAACGACAGCAAAAATATAGCGAGAATCCCTTTTCATCTTCCCATCCGTTTGGGTTTCACGCACAACTTCGAAGAGCATGGAGTATGCCGGTTTCGTCTATTCTTTTACGTGGTCTTGTGATGTACCTTGGGGTGTCGATATTATTATTGTTGATCTATCGTCAATACCGTGATTGGCTACACGATGACGGATGGAAAATGTCTGAAAGTTTGGCACGATATGAACAGATTTCGGAGCTGCATCGTTTGAGACAAGAGATGAATGAACGCATTCGTTCCACGCGTGAGGCCGCTGCCGCTCAGAATCCTAGTGCACGGGTTTTTGCAGCCCTCTATGATGAAAACAGGGACTACAACTCGGTGGTTTCTTCTCGAGAGAAAGAGCTCCGTGCTTTGGAGTACGCCCGTCGTCGACAGATGGAATTGGGCGAGGAGGCGAAGGGGTGGCCGCAGTTTACGGAAGACAAGGGTCGATTGATACGCCGTGCAAAGGATCCACCCGGTGTCGTTTTCTTTGAGCCACGAAAAGAAGACTTGCGGTATAGACAGCTGCGGAATATGCAAACAGGCCGTGAGTGGAGCGACAAGAAACAAAATGCGAAAAATATGAGTGACAAGGAACCCTCCAATGAAGGCCATGCTTTCGCTACGCCTGTTGCTACTACTCAACCCGGGGTAACCACCATGAGTAAAACAAATGATAGTACCGTGACTAATGCTGCTAATAATACTAATACTAATACTGCTACTGCTAGTACGAGTAAGAATACGGGTACTAGCAATGGTAACACTGCCTCTGTGGAAGTTGATGGGATTACGAGGATTAAAAAAATCATTGGTGACGTATTCCACAATGAGCAGAAAGCCGCACGAAACGAATGAGAGTGCCATTTGTTCAATTGTAGGGGAGAGGGGATGGTGCCCGTTTCTCACTCTCCTTTTTTTATGTGATTTGTTTGTTTCAACTTTTTTTTTTCATTTTCATTTTTTTTTTTTTTTCTGTGTCTGCGCCCATTATATATTTGTGTGTGTTGTTGGTGTTGTGTGCATTTTAGGAGAATGGAGGGGGGGAGGGGGGGGGGAAAAAAAAAAGGGAAATGGCGCCTGTTGTTTAGGCGAAGAGATTAGTTTACCTGGATTTTCTTTTTTTTTTTTTTTTTTCTCCCTCTCTTACTCTCTTACTCTTGTGCCCTTTTGTCTTGTATTTACGAACAAATATGCAAAAAAAAAAACAAACAAACAAAAAAAAATTGCGTTTCTTTTTCTCTGCGTGTCTGGTGAGTGGTGCTTTTCTTCTTCCTTTGTTGGTAATTTAGGCGCGTGTCCACACAATTTGGTTCTTCACTCCTTTTGTTCTTTTTTTTTTTGTTTTTTTTCCCTTAAATGCCTTTTCACATGCACACACTTACCCACCGCCCGTGGTTGGCCTTTGGGTACAGATAACAAGCGACAACAAAATAATAATATTGATAACTGCGTTTAACTTTTAAGGCGGAGATCGAGTTCACGCAGAGAAAAGTTTGAGTCATTTTTTTGGCCACTTGCCAACTCCTCGTTTTTGTCTGTCTGTCTGTCTGTCTGTGTGTCTTTGTGGGCGTTGCGGGGCCGGGGAAGTCTATCTACGATATAAATATTTTTGGGCAGGCATTCTGACGACGGGACAAATCCCCTTTTGTTTTGGTAGGAAAAGGGAGTTGTATATATATATATATATATTTGATTTGCCTGTAGAGATGTCCTTTAAGCAGGTGTTTCTCCGCGACAATGAAGAATGCCACGCCTTTCCCTGGGATGCTCTCACGCATCCGTCGCAGAGCGCTGGGGAGGAGCAGCGAACGATTCATCACCAGTTGGCTTGGTCCGCAGTGTGCGAGAGGGAGGAGGCGGACATGGGGACGCAGCCCGCTCGGAACGTTTCCGAGTTGACATCGGTTTCTTTTTCCTTCCAACCCCCGTTTGCGAGGCCACGGCGAAAGACAGGACGTTCTTCGTTGGGGCGTAGACATGACAGACCTTTATACGCCGCTGGTTCCGCTGGTCCCCGGTGTGGCGAAAAACCGACGCTTTTCGTTGGAGCGGCCGAGGCGGACTTCTGTGAAGACATGGGCTGGAGGCAGAGAAGCAGCTCACCGGTCTCTTCTGTCGAACACAATGCAGAAGACGACGGAGAGGACTTTGATGTTGAGCCTGTGGTGCTGAAGAAGTCGTTGAGCGAGAAGGATCGACGAAAACGCTTGCATTTATCCGAGATGAGTGCCCGTTTGTGTCATGCCTTTGCCATGAAGCCATTCCGACTCGCTTGTGGGCTCGGCTCGGATGAGTGTGATGGTGGTGTTGGTATGGAGAATCAAAGCGGCTGGGGCGCAGGAGAAGAGGCCGCAGTACCACTGCGGGAAAAAGACGACGATGACGACACGACACCCGCACGACAGACGGCGCCAATTTCTGAGACCAAAAGAGGTAATACAGCGCTTAATTTTACCGACAATGACTTGAGTGTTGTCCGTGCCATTGCACTGGCACTCATGGAGGAGGAGGAGAAAAAGAGACGGCAGGAAATGCGGAGGAAAACAAATTGAAGAGTGTCTCGTATGCGTACAAGTATATCCGCAAAAAAAAAAAAAAGAACATACATAGATACATACATACATACGTACATAGACACAATTTGCTGTTATTGTGTATTTGACGGAAGCGATGGGGATTGTGAAGGGGTGAAAGGTGGTGGCGACAAATGTGTGGTCGCCGCCTTCTCATGAAGAAGGAAGGGAGAGGTGAGGGAAATAACTCCTTTTTTTTTTTTTTTGTGTGTGTGTGTGTGTGTGTTTTCGCTTGGCTTATTATTATTATTTTATTCCCTTTTCTCCCTCCTTTTTAAAGGCAATATATCTATATATATATACAGTGTAATAATTTCCTTCTGGCCGAACCACCGAACACCGTCGTACAATCACCATTAACTCATCTGTTTGGCGTAAAACTCTCACTGCACACCGAATAAAATAAGAGTTTACGTAAAGACACATACGCACACGCAAACGCCATTGCCACGAGTATTCCTTCTCTTTTTCTCTTTGTGTGTGTGTGTGTGTGCCTGGGCGAACTCCATCATTTTCAGGATCAAGCAGCACTCAGGAACATATATACAAAAACAACAACAACAGAAAAGAACACGCTCAATATTTATCCATCGAGGACTCTCAGTAATAATAAATATAACCGATGCAAGTTTCGGATCCAACGGCTGCTTCGGTAGAGGATACCTCCAGTTCCGTGAAGGATTATCGTTACTTCATTGGAGGTATTCAGCGTCACATCACGCAACAAGACATTGAACGCTACTTTGCAGCCTTTGGGGATTTTGAGGGGTTTACAATGAAGCGGGATTCGGCAGGCAATTCGCGGGGGTACGGCTGGATATCGTACAGAAGTCCACCCCTGGGAATTGCGCGACAGGACCCACACGTGTTGAAGGGTGTTGTGCTTACTGTGGAACAGGCACGTAGTCGAGGTCCTCACGAAGGCAACCGCTCAGAGAAGCGTAGCTACGTGAATGAAGGAGCGTCCCTCCGCCGCCGCCGATCCCGCTCTCCCTCTTCAGTTCCTCATCTTCCGTGGCGTCACGACGAGGAAACTACCGTCGTTTTACTTCATCACGGCAAGAAAATGCCAATAGCACCTCAAGGTTGCCTGCCATAGCCGTGGGAAATTCCCGCTTGCCACCGTTGTCGACACAGATGTATTCTTCGGCACCTCCCGCTCAATCGTCAACATCCACAACAAGTCATGGGAATGTTGTTTCCACCAACAACTGCGATGATGGTAACACCATGACTGAGACGTATCTTTGTATTCCTATAACGTTGTGTCCATCGGAGTACCTCAGTGACCCTCGAACATTCTGTGCCAGACTGGATCAGAACCGTGTTGGCAGCCTTAACATTGTCCCAACACCTCTCGTTTCCACAAATGCCGCATCCGTTTCCGTTCCACCGCCGCCACCGCCACCGCCGCCTTCTACGAGAAATCTCAGTCAGTATGGTTTGATTGGTGAAAGGGACTCAAGAAATAATGCCGGTTTGCCACAATCCGTTTCGTCTTCAACGACGCGTGTTGCAATGCAGCGTGGTTTGACGCATTGAATTGATCACTTCGTTTGTGAATTGCATTACCCTACGCTGTCCCTTGGTTCCTTTGAAACAAAAGGAAAGGAATGCAAGGAAAAAAAAAAGAGGAAAATAATAATAATAATAAAATAATAAAATAATATTAGTAGTAAAAACGAAGGAAAAATAGCGACGGAAATATATTTGGGTATAAAAAGTGTGTTGAGGATTTCGAAGAATAGGGTGGGAGGGAATATCTTTCCCTTTTGCACTCTTGTCATGATTGATATTCCTTAGCTTCACTATTCCCGTTTTTTTTTTTTTTTTTTTGTTGTTGTTGTTTATGTTTTATGAAGGTGTGTTGTTATTCCTGTTGGTGTTGTGAGTTCCCTCGTCATTTATTTATTTATTTAATTTATTTAATTTATTATTAGTTTTTGTTGTTGTTTATTTTTATCAGCCTGTTTATTGTCATTGCCATCTTCGTGTTGCACCACTTTTCATCTTGGCTTACCCCCATGCAGGGAGGACAATGACCGCACATAGTCAGAAATGCGTGATTAGACGTTTGAGCCTCGCGTATTGGAATGGAAAACACCGATGCTGTAGAACATCCAGTAACGTGCCTTCATGTCGTTACCGGCACGGTAGATGCGGAATGCCTCCTTATTTTTCATTGAACGCAACTGTTTAGACGGCAAAAAGAAGAAAAAGAAGAAAAAAAAAATTAAAGAAAAAAGAAAAAAGAGCGAGAGGGGAGGAGTGAATGAAAAGGGGCACATTCGCATCAAAAGGAAAAACAAAAAACAAAACAAAAAAAACCACAAACAGAAGGCAAGTAAATAAATAAATAATCATAAAGAGTGGGGGAGGGCGGAAAACGGGAACGAAGAAGCAGAGACATTTGGATAAAATTTGTTGAATAAATTTTATAATGAGATGACTGCATTCGAGCTGGATCCACATATTTCCGCATGCCGCTTCTTTTCCTTCTTACCACAACGAGAAGAACCCATCCACACCCTTGACTGGAAATTAGGATGAAACCTGCCACCACCTTTTCCTATTTCAGACGAAGAGTCACAGAGCAGTCCACGTTATTTCAGTTTTTCCTCCATTGCAATGCGGCTTGGCGCCAAGAAGGGCTTGCATATGTGCTTTTGTGTGCGTGTGCGTGGGATGTTTACTTTCTTTTCTTTCATTCTTTTTTTTTTTTTTTGGTTTATGAGAGGAATTTATGGTAGAGGCATCTACTTTTTCTTACTGAATGCGTTGTCCTATTATTCTCTGTACGCCTGTGTGTTTGTCTTCCTTACATCGCTCTTTAATTTTTCCTCATGCCAACTGAACTCTGTAGCTGGACGACACGCTCTGCGTATTTCCAAGAAAAACATGCGACTTCGTCAAAAACGAAAAAAACAACAACAAAAATATAATAATAAATGCCAAATCCATGAAGATTTATAGGACAGAAGTGGAAGAATTGCTGCTGGGGCGAAGAAGAGGAGGAGGACGAGCGTATAATCCCTACCATCTGGTGATTTATGCATGAAAAGTGGTTACATTATGATCATGTGTATTGCAGACTTTTTAAATATTATCTCTTCCATCTCTTTTTCTCTTTTCTTTTTTTTTTCTCTCTCTCTCTCTATATATATATTTTTGTTGACACTTTTTTTTTTTGATTTCACATCACATGGTTGTGTAAAGAGGAATAGAAGAGTCATGCCATTACCTTTACTATTTGCACAGGCGGTGCAAGAGTGCGTCTCGAAGTTTCCGTTGCGACATGACGCGCGCACAGCGCCATTATTGTACGGGACGTCGGGGTTTCGTACATTAGGAGTCTTGCTGCCCCCCGTGGCGGCTCGTGTCGCGTTTGTGGCGGTATTACGGGTGTGGTGGGCCGTTGTTAGTCGCTCGGAGCCTGCTGGCTGTTCTGTTGGATGTATGATTACGGCCTCGCACAACCCCGCCACTGACAATGGCTTGAAGCTGATAGACGTTGATGGCGGTATGCTGGAAGTCTCCTGGGAGAAAGTCTGCACGGCCGTTGCTAACGCCACCACGGCGGAGGAGCTTATGTCTGAGTTGGAGGAGTGGGCGGTCAGGAACAATATTTCTGTTTCTTCTTTTTCCATGGATCAACTTGTGGCGCGTTGTCCCTTTTCAGTGTTGCATCTTGCACGTGATACACGGCCTTCTGGTATGGAAATTCTTTCCGCTGTGCAGACATCGCTACAGTCGTTGCAACTCCCATTTAGGGACCATGGAATAACCACAACACCGCAACTTCATTACTTGGTGCAGCGTGCCAATCAACCATCGATGGCGACAGGAGTAACAAACGTTTTTGAGTTCGGAACTGCACTTTACAGGCAGGATATACTGTCGTCTCTGGGGGCGTTGTTGAACACTTTGACGGAGCCAACGCCGAATAGACGAGGGCGCCGGAAAATCGTTTTGGATGCGTCTAATGGCGTGGGTGCCATCGCCATTTATTCACTGCTTGAGGCTGCGCGGCAGATGTCCTCACAGAATATTTTGGAGGAGCTTTTTGACATTACCGTTCTCCACGACGACGTGAAAAACGATGGCGCTCTTAATCATCTGTGTGGTGCTGACTTCACACAGAAGACCCGTTCACCGTCTGAGAAAATGAAGGAATGGGCTGCAGATTATGGGAAGCAGCATTGTAATGAACCTCGAGAAGAACGAGAGGAAGTCCACTATTATTCGCTGGATGGCGATGCAGATCGTGTGGTAGCCTTCTTTCACGATTGCGATGGAGGAGACACATGGCATCTGTTAGATGGCGATCGTGTTGCCATCCTGTATGCCATGCTGCTCCGGCAGTGTCTTGGCCAGAATGCACTTCAGGTCCTTGACATTGGCGTCGTACAGACGGCATACGCTAACGGGGCCTCAACAGATTACTTACAGCGCCAGCTTGGGCTTCGCGTGTACACCACCGCCACGGGCGTGAAAAATCTGCATCCCGTTGCCCATGCGCGTGACATTGGTGTGTACTTTGAGGCAAACGGTCACGGCACAGTTTTACTCAACAAGGACTCTATTGCATCCAAGGTTTCCTCATTGGCTGACCCACGCGCCCAGGTCATTTTACAACATCTTCCGGTCCTTCTTTCACAGGTGTGTGGTGACGGAATTGCTGATTTGTTTGCCTGCGAATTTGCGCTTTTGGCGTTGCAGATGGACTTTAATGCGTGGTATCATATTTACACGGATCTGCCCTCGCGTCAAACCAAAGTTACTGTACCCAATCCACGAGTGATCACCAACACACCTGACGAAAGACGGGCGTTGACTCCGCCGGGGTTGCAAGAGGCGATTGATGCGGCTGTGGCTGCCACGGCTTTGGCTTCAAACTCTGTGGCGAGGGCGTTTGTGCGCCCAAGCGGCACGGAGCCACTGGTTCGCGTGTACGCAGAGACGGGTAGTGAGGCGCTGTGCAACAGCCTGTGCGAGGTGGTGGAAGGTCTTGTAATACGGTACTGTGATCCACTGAAAAAGGATGCCTTGCCCCACGTAGAGTGAAAGACACGCAAAAAATCAATTTAGCGATTGGGGGTAGCGTAGAGTAGGATGCGGGCACATCGTTGGGCATATGATTACTCACGTATGCAGAATTTTGTTGGCAAAATATACAACATTTTTACTTATGTACAAATGGACGTGGGTGGATGCTGGGAGGTGTAAAAGACCACTGCATTCAAACCAAATGCAATTAATTAATTTTAGACAGTAATTAATTTACGTGAGGTGTGTGGAGGGATTGTGCGGCCCAATTTGAAGGGGGTCGGAGGATAATAGCAATTAGTGGTTAACTCCTCTGCTTTTTTTTTTTTTTTTTTGTTCCCACCCCCCTGATGACGACTGCCCTCCACGCGGCGAGGGGTTTGCCGGCTGCGGGGCCTTCTTTTAAAGGACTGCCACTTTTGTGCGTTCACAGCGGCCCCGGCCATCGTCACATTTGTGTGTGTGAGTGAGTGAGGATGTTGGGTGCAATGAACCAAACTGCCATCTCTTTCTTTTTTTCTTTTTCTCTCTCTCTCTTTTTTTTTTTTTTTTTGTGTGTGTGTGTGCGGTATTTTTAACTTGTGCGAAGTGTGCAGAGAAACATGAGGAGGAGGGGGAAAAAAAAGACGGAGGAGAACATATATATGTACACTGATGTGTATGCATGTGGGGTCTGCCTAGTTGAGGCGGTGGGTGGCAGTGAAAAGAATAACGTCGCCGAGGGGGGACCGCTTGATGAGTGCAAGCCGCGCAGGTGAGTTGACATGCTCACACGCGACGGGGGGTATCAACGGCACGTTTGCCAACATTTTTTTTCTGCTTCTTTGCTTTTGTGTGCTCTTCTTTTTTTATTTATTTATTGCCTCAATAGAAGCAACTGTGTGCGCCAAAAAAAAAAAAAAAAAAACAGAGCAGCCGTTAGCAGCGGCAATAGGAGCATTTGACATCACACAAGAGACACGCCGGCAACATTGTTCAGGACTGATTTTCACGAAACAACAAACAAACGAAAAAAAGCGGGAACCAAAAAAACCAAAAAAAAACAAAACCAAAAACAAACAAACAAACAAACAAACAAGCAAACAACACCGACAAAAAAGCAACAGAGAAAAAAAAGAAGAAGCAATACTTTTGTTTCCCTGGTGTAAAGTGGCTGAGGTAGATTTCTGTCGGGGAACTACCCAGGTGTTGGACGGAGAACGAAACACTACGAAAAAATTACGACGAAGTCGGAGAAGGAAAACAAACAACAGCAAGAAGCAAGCATAGGAAACAACAACAACAACAAAAGGAGAGAGAGAGTGTGTGTGTGGAGTTTGCAGAGAAACAAACCACAATGATGGTGTATCATGGTGGCAAACGGGGGCAGGGCAGGAGTCATTTGACAAGAATTGCAATATGGATCGCAGCAGTGTATATGATATTGTCTTTGTTTGTTTGTCTTTTGACGCATGCGGTGTACGTTGCTGTGGACCCTTCCCTGCCGTTACTAAATGTTCCTTTTTACGTCACTGCTGAATTTTTGCAACAGGGACAGAATTTGTTTCTTTCACGTAGTTCAGTCTGTGACGTGGAACAATTGGTGGACGCGTTTTGTACCCTTCAGGCAAATCGAACCTGCGAGTTTAATGTTACCTCAAAGAGCATGGGTGTAAGTTCACACTACGAAAGGTACGTTCCGCCGCTCTATATTTGCTCTAGCGCCTTTTCTCAAGGGTACATACAATCGCTGCAATTGCATGTGATCGATGTTACTCCACGTTTTGTGTTCTTGGAGCGTTTGTCTACTGTGACAGTTGGGGATGCGACTCCTGTGGGAAGTATTTTTGGCTTTTTCAGCGACGAAGATTGCAATGATGTCATTGAAAATATGCCAGAAAAAGTATTGAGAATGCACAGAACTTTAAGCTTGACTGCCGGTGATGTTGGTGTCATTCATCTCTGCGCCCGGATTCCGTATGGTGATGATGGACTTTACTCCTCTTATATACCTGCGGCGACACTATTGCCTGTATCACCTTTTTCAGTGAGTGAGACGAAGGCTCTTCGATACACCAAACAACTCTTTAAGTTAGACTCATTCAGCCAAATTCCATTTGCCAGTTTTTCTCTTTCTCCAATTTGTCTTCAACTCTTGCAGGAACCGGTGGGGGGTATTAAGTTGCAAAACATAATACTTACCATTCTCGTCCCTAAAGGAGATTATTATTTCTGTACTGGATTACCTTATTACAAAAACCTTCGAGTGTACGTGCCTTCGAGCAACCTTATCACGGTTCAGGAGTACGGGTTGCAGCCACACACAATGTACGCCGGCTTGCCTACCACAATGGAACTTACATTGGACGCAGCGTCATTGGAAACTAATGCTACCGTTGCTACAGCGCTTTTTTTTTCTCCAGGTTGCAAAAAGGATCCAGTTATCTCTTGGAGTACGTCGAGAACATGGACTGTGACATTGCCAGGCTTGTACTACGCATGTGTGGCGGTTACAGACTCAAGCGGAAGCACCATGGCCTTGGCAGCTAATATTACGGTATTGGATGCACCAATAGCAGTTGTGTCACGATCTCCCGCTATCAGGGGAATTGATACTATAGTGAAATTGAATAATCGTGAGGCGTCCGCTCCTGGAGTCATTACCGTTGGTTTATCACTGACACCTAACTGTTTACAACTTGTTTCCAGGTCTGCAACGACAGAGACAGGAGATCAGGCCACGTTACGCGTTCCAGAAGATGCTCTTGAAACGATTTATCTCTGCGTCTCTACCCCTCTTTTCCATACGGGAGGGCATTTGGACGAGAATATTGATTATGGCTACATTTATTTTATCGAAGAAGTTACAACTCGATCCTACACTGTTTGCTACGATACCTTGTTTGTGGGAAAGAAAGGAGCTGTTACATTGGACAAAGATGTGCAGTTTGAAGCAGGCACGAAAGGAATGTTTTCCAATGACACAACATGTGAAACGATGGTTGGGGCCGAATTCTCGATGAATGAGACTGTATTGAAGAATGTGCTGTTTACGGATATTGGGGAGTATTCCCTCTGTGTAAAGCTTCTATATGCCTCAGCGTATGCTCACATTGCTACAGTTGTAGTGTATGGTGCAGTAGAATTGGCCCCCACTTCCATCGTTGTGGGTACCCTCACAAATGTGTCGGTGTCGTTGGTTCCTCCTTATGCTCCCGTGAAAATTCAAACCTCAAAAGACTGCAGTTTTTCACCAGTAGCTAAAGGGGTAGCAGACATGAATGGGGAATTAAAAATTCAGGTGCTTTACGCTAGACAGACAAACTTGACTGTATGTGTAGGGTATGGCGGGAGCAAGGATGAGGGAAATTGGAATATAATACCCGTTGGAGTGTTGCCAATTAGAGAGGTTCATGTCGCTCCAATGGCTGTGATTGTGTCCAAGGTAAACCGTGTGAACTTTATTGTACCTGATGCTACTTCTCTCACCGGATTCCAGGCATTTGTTCATGGAGCGGAGGGCTCGTGCCAATCACCCCCCACGGGGTCTGTGTTGCCTGTTAATGTCCCCAATAAAGGACGGGCATTTATTCTTTTTACACCTCCCGAAGCTGGAGCATGGGAGGTGTGTTTGGGAAATGAATTCAGCACTTTCAGAAGCATCGAAACCATTTTTTCTGTTGCACCATTGGAAATGACTGCGAATCCGCCATCAGGCGCCGCTGGATTGCCGGTCAAAATGAAATTTGGTGGGTCATCATGGTCCGCTCTTAAGCCAATACTATTTTTTATTACGGACAATGTGAAATCATGCGCATTACCAAGTGACGAGGAAACTTTAATATTGGGGGAGGGCTCTATTAATAAAACCAATGGAGTTGCCGAACCGTTCGTGGTGGCACGGACTGGTGCACTGACTGTATGTGTTGGATGGAAAGATAAAAATCAAAGTTTTTTTGTCTATGGGGGTAGCGTAGCTATTGTACCATTTAGGTCTTTTTCACGCTATGCCATTCGCGCACGCACGAATAGCATTTTGGCATTTCCAGTGCTAGATGACGGTTCATTATTTCTTGTGTCATGTCCCTCTAAAAGCATGTGTGGCGTCCCCATTTCGGTGAAAGTCTGTTTACAAGCGACAAAACGCTACTATACAAGTCCATTGGTTCCGTTAAAAGGTGCGGCGGTCGGCCGCTATGTGTTGTGTCAAGAGGAAGCGAATGGAAAAGGGATTGTGGCTTCAACGGTTCCTATATTTGTTGTGGATCCGTTTTTGGTGACCATTTATGATACGATGGTGCGGCAATTTGGTGCAGTCAGGATAGGATTGTCTGGGGGTGATGTGGAAACACGTTCCGAGCCCATTACGCTTTTTACAATGCCACCAGGATTACAATGTAATGAAACGGATGCACGAAGTGAAGAGTTTATTTTTGCTGCAGGAGCTTTTTTTGGGAATATCACCGTGACAATGATCACCCCCTTTGCAGAAGAAGTACGGTTGTGTGTAAAGGCCTCCCCAAGGGACATCTTTCTTGCAGAAGTGTTTGATCTTCTATCTTACATGACCCCCGCGACGGTGGTGACGGATCGCACAACACCTGTGCTCTCAGGATTGTGGAAGGAAAATGTGGTGGCAAAACTCACTGCCCTACCGGACTGTGCGGGGAGTGTCATGAGCGTTCCACCCGCGCTCATCACGAACTACATCTCAGAACTTCGGGTGGATGGCTGCGAGGGTGGCAATGCGGATCTCAAAACTGTACATTACTGTGAAAGCCTAGATGGTGGCAGGGTTTTTGACTACCGTGGGGCGATGGCGCTAGTTCGTCTCCGGAGCTGTGACCCTGATCACCCCTCGGAGATTGCGCCCATCACAGTGCCACCTGGAAGGTTTATATTTAATTACGGAATCGATCGGGCCCGCTTCAATTTTTTTGCGCTATCGGAGAAATCGGATTGCCAGAAGTTGCCAATTGGTAAAAACTTTTTTTTACCGAGGTATGATGAGAAGTTAATTTTTTTTGTTTGCGTGAGTGTGAGGACCGATCCCGATTACGTGTTCACCACCGACTCTCCGACGCTTCAGGTGGACAACTTCAAGGTCTCACCGAAATCTGTTCCGGGTATTTTGGTGGCAGGATTTGGTGCCAAGATGCGGGCGGAGTTGAGTTTAAATTATTGTACAGGTGAGAAAATGACGTTCTTGAGTGACAGTGCGAGCTGCGGTAATGTTCTGGTATCTTTACGTGGTCTTGCGGTGAACCCTTCCCGTGTATTGTTGTTTCTCGTGGGAGCGTCAGGACTGAGCTACGTGTGCGTTACGCCTCAAGGCGATATCAGGAGAAAAGTGGCACTGGCGGAAATCCTTGTTGTCAATCCTCCCATACCATCGATGCTGGATCCAATACTCGTTCTTGGTGCTGCGTTTCACGCGACGTTACAGGTGTCAACAGTGAGTGGCCAAGCACAGTTGTACTCTTTGATTCCAGGGGAAGACGCGCAGTATGCGTTTGCATCTTTTTATACCACTTTCTTCCGCGGTATTTTTTTCTCGATTGATGCATGCAGAAGTACTGTCAATGGGAGCGATGTGGTGTATGTTCGGGATACTGGACGCGTTGTCCTACCAACGAAGGATATACCAGAGGGAACAAAGTCCCTCTCCCTCTGTGCGGGTACTCCCGCAGGTAACCTCTCCGTTGTTGCTGACATTCAAATTTCTACCGCCGTCATTTACCCTACACAGTTTGTTCTTGGTGCGGATGCGGATGTGTTTATTCCACTTACCCCGAATGGAATATTCCACTTAAGACAAGATGACAACTGTCGGGGTGAGGAAGTTGTACCGTCCTTCACAACGAATAGTGAGGGTCGCGGGAGGTTGTTATTTCGACGCTCCTCAGGTGCGGGTTTGCCCTCCGCAGGTCGATGGACGCTTTGCGTGGAAAACACGGGGCATGATGGCGCACCTCCGTTTGATCAAGAAGGAATGGCGATGGCTGCTCCTGGAGTGCCTTTACAGGCTCTTACCACGATTGAGGCTTTTAACCCCGTGTATTACAATGTGCGTGGTACGGATATTATTGTTGGTGTTTCAAGTATTTTGTATTTGCTTGATGACCTAAAGGTTACCGACTTACGTCGTGGTTTTAGCATGGACAGGAGTTGCAAAGAGCAAGTGGAGTCCTATGGATTTTGGGAGCCATTGCGAGCCAGTACTGAACGTGGATTAGGCCGTATTATCGTTTACGCGGGTGAACCTACTCCCGCCTTGTACTTGTGTGCCGCTGTTTCCGTGAACCGTTCTATTGTCTCTCTTCCTCGCCATGGCGCAGTTCGGTTTTTGACACCAATTTTTGCTCTTCCATCAATTGTTCCGCGTTGTGAGCCTCTGCAGTTGGGCAAATGTGCGTCGCTGGATCCGTCGTGGTCGGGTAAGTTTTTTACGGTCATTGTGGGTGATTGCTGCAGTTTTGCGGATCGGTTGAACATTGTTGGAGTGATAGAACGGGGAAGTCGCAATTTATGCACATTGAGAATGGATCATAAAATGTTGGACGATGATCCCCCCCAAACCGAATACAGTGTTTGTGCATGGGACTCACAAGATGCCTCATATTGCAGTAATTTGGGCCGTGTCAAGGTGAGTACCGATTCATGTACTTCTGACATTGGCACATCTGGCTCTCCTATGAGTGAAGAGCTGCTTATTTTAATTATTGTGCTCTCTGTGCTTGTTGGAGTGTTACTGATTGTATTTTTGATTTGCGTGACAGTCCGGTTCTGCCGGATGAAGGAGAAAAAGAAGAGGGAGGTTGTCTTGGCCTACCCGCAGATGCTCGAGCAAGAATTAAACCCGCTGACGATATACGGTTCAACAACTGTGAGTCCTCTACCGATGCATGAGGATCAATCGCTTGGCGCCGCAAATGGAGACCGATTTACCGGCTCATCCCAAACCCCCATTTCTGTTGGCACCTCCGTTGATCGCGCAATGGGCCAGTCGCCAGTGGGAGTGGGTTTGCGGGGAGTGACTTTGATGAATGTTTGGGAAAGCATTGAGTCGGACGAGCGGGATCAGGTTGCTCTGCAGGAGGCACGGGACCGATACAATTATCGTCTTGCATTCACCGATGGAATAGAGCGCATGAGCCTGGAAGAGAAGGAGCAGGCGGTTCCCTTTGAATTGAGTAGTGATTGGGGCAATCCATTGGAGGCGGGTGATGAGAATGCTTCCGCTTCTTTTCGTCGAGCTTCAGCGCCGAGGGAAAAAGATGCGGAGGCATGGATGGATCCCACAGAGGTTCAGATGGAGAGTGAGGGGGGGGTGGCAGCGGAAGAAGGTTCGACAGTCGCTGCGTCATTTCTGCCACATAATCGTACGGATGCCGTCCAAAGCCTTCGTTCAGGGAGTTACACAACAAGGCAGCGCTTCTATGACGAATGTCGATATCTCTTTGAGGGCGAGACGGTACGGCGGCAGCGTGTTGCGAACATGGCGGATGAGGAGTGGCATGATATTGTCGATGCGGAGTTCAACAGTTACGTCCTCCTACAGAAAAATTTCTCAGGAGCCACACTGCCAGAGCCATTACCAGACACCACTGTTCTGCCCTTTGCTGCGGTTGTTGATTACCAAACGGACACTGAGAGTAGCAACAGACATTATGACTTTTGTTGTACCGATGAGGATGATATTTATGACGCACCCACCTTTCCGGCGCCGCCGCTGAATCATGGGAACAGTGGCGAGGCAAAATTTTCCTGCCGCGGTGGTGCACAGAGCGCGACCAATGCACTTACCGAGCGTGATGCCCATGTGGTGGCCGAGGCGGAGAACGATCAACAGTCCGGGGAGTTGACACTGGGTGATTCTAAGTCTTCAGACACAAGGAAAACGGCTCAGTAATACGCGCTTGATGAGCGAGTGCACCATTTTCAATGACAGAAATAATACGAATCACCAGAAATGACGATCATACGATGGCAGGTCCGTTGCGGTGTCACGTGTCATTTTTTTTTTTTTTATTTGGTCCCGCTGCGACGCCAAAATGCATCGAAGTCAAGCAATTACACGAGCGAGAAGAAATAATAAAAGACTGACGACGGCTCCCTTTTGAGCAGCAGCCCTGCGTGTTTGGGAACTGTGAGTGGGAGACACCTCGGCCGTGGGAATCCATGAGCTTCCGATGGACCTTGAGGAGGGAAATGCGGAAGAAACAACAAAAACAACAGAAAAATGGAAAAACAACGACGGCGAGGCGATAATTTAAAGGAATGAACGGAGGCGGGGTGATGAGGGAGCGAAGACACGTGAGAAAAAACAACAAAAACAAGTGAACAATAAAAAACAAACAAACAAACAAAAAAAAATGGAGCGTGTGTGCGTGTGTGCGTGTATAGAGGCACATGACTGCTCTTGTAAAGAACGGGTACAATTTTTTTGATATGCATTCAAACATTCCACCCAAAGCCACAGAGGCATAGATTCGTGAAGAGAAACATTAACTTAAAATGAAAGGCAAAGACAAACAATCAAACAAAAACAAAAACAACAACAACAACAACAAAAAAAAAAAAACCAACAAGAAAAAGAAAATAAAACAATTGATTATTAACGGTACACGATGTTACATGACATGATGCCATAATGTAATGTATACAAAGGTATAAAAATATGCAGATTAATATTTATTTATTTATTTATTTATTATTTTATTTTTATTTTTATTTTTATTTTTCTGTTTTATATTTTGTTTTTGTTTTTCAGGTGGTTTCAAGAGGGGTGGTGCCCTTTAAGTAAAGTATCCGACTGTGCTCTTTCTCTCTCTCTCTCTCATATATATATATATCCGGATACAAACAAATATACACGCTGCTGTGTGCAACGTCACTGTAAGCAACCCTGAATAATATGGATATTATGAACCTCTCCCTTCCTCCGAAAAAAAAATTTTTTTTTTTTTGATTTTTATTTTGATTTTTTACTTTTGGATTGGAAGGAAAAAAAATTTCTACGTGTATTTGTTTGTTTTGTTGGGCTTGCAATGTTAACTTTGAAAAAAAAAAAAACAAACAAACAAAAAAACAAAGGGAACAAGGAAGATGCAATAACGATATAAATTGAAGGGTTATGTATGAGTGGGAATGTAAAAGAAAGAGAGAGAAATGGGTAGCCATTTTGTAGGTGACATGTATCTACGCTTTTTATTTTTATCTTCATTTTTATTTTATGAGAGTTGACCTGCCCCATCTTTCTTTTTTTCTTTTTTTTTTTTTAAATTATTTGTGCGTGTTTTACTGTGTGATGAGATGCAACAACGGGAACGGTTTTGGGTTCCCATCTAGAAAGATGAAAGAAATAGAAGGATGTATGTATGCTTGTCTGTAGGTATATAAGTTGAGTTTTTTTTTTTTTTTTTTTTTTTTGGTTTTGTCGCTTGCGGCAGTGGAACCAACCACTTGTCACAAAGTGGTTATGGGCAGAAGGCACAGGGGCAGCGGGCGGAAAGGGGAGGGAGGAGATGACAGGGATGGAGGGCAAATACGGTGGGGGAAGGGAGCGGGGGGTGAAACTACCACCACTACCACCACCACCACTCCTCCCTCCCTGCGAGTGCGCACAATTAATTGAGGAGGAGGAAAAACAAAACAACATGAAGAAAACAAAACAAAAAACAAGAAGAAAAAAGAAAAAAAAGACCATGTCAGGAACTTATTTTCTGGGGGTCATTCTCATACATGTAAACTTATATACGCACATACATATATATAAATAAATAAATAAATAAATAAATAGATAGTTTTTATTTATTTCGTGGGGGATGGGGGGGGGGGGGGGAGATGAGTAAAGTTGATTTGGGGTTTGTGAGTTTAATTAATT